AAATGAGGCATGGCAGGTGCTCGCATCTATCGGTTCAAATTATATGCTGTCCTCAGATCTTTCAAAAAATTTTAAAAAACGATTTACGAGCAAAAAATTCTGAAAAAACCGAGCCTTGCAAATCAGCAAATCAGCAATAAGATCAAGAAAGAGCAGCGATAAAAGATTGCTAAAGCTATGAATTAAAACTCCCCTGAACAAGTTAGACAAAATCCTATATTGGAAATTCATATCTTTAATCAGGTCTGTATCGTTGTTTGCAAAAAATTTCGAAGAACTTTGCGTTTATACTAATTTTAAATTCTCTACCTTACACTGCAACATGCTAGCATGGTGACGTTAATGAGCAGCGCCAAACAACCTCTTAGTGACTACATTTTAGCAAACCCAAGGGCTTGATTATTTAGAGATTGTCAATGATGATGTTGGTCCACGAGGTAGAAACGAAAAATTGCCGTTCTTAATGCGTTAGATAGATGTCCTGAACTTTGAACATTCTGCCTTGCTCAATATGTTTTTTTTTGTGTTTCAAAGTGCTATAAGAGTAAAAAAGTCACAATATTCAGCTTGAACATTGAAAAATTAAGGCTGTAAGTCAATAAATGGCTTACCATGCTGCAAAAGCATCTCGTCTCCTTCCCTGTGATTCTCACTGGCCTCGCTGAAGTCGTCATCACGCTCATTTTGTACATAGGGAACGTCTTTTGAGTCTTCATAGTAATTACGTCGATTATTTGGGGGTACTCCACGATAGCGTCGAGCTCCATTTGAGAGGTCTTGAGATCTGTGGTAGAAATCATTGACCCTGCTGTCACTAACGTCAGCTGAATATCCTGGAGCATCGTATTTTGGAGCGTTTTCGTAAAAATCATCGTCACGATACCGCTCCCGGCTATGAGGAGGTCTACCTAGAACCTCTCTTTTAGGATAATAAAGCCGCGCATAAAGTTACAAGACGTTGCTGTGGTTCATTTTAAAAAATCCTCCCACAGTATAAGTTTTTATAACTAAGGTGAGCGAAAGACCTACCACGTCCATAATATGTTTCGAAGGAAGGATCAGGACCAAGGCGACTGTAATCTCTATCAGAACCACGAAGGCAGTAATCATATCTTCTGTCCTCATGATTACGGTTGCGATATTCCTCACAAGTATAGTATTCATCTCTTGAAGTTCCCTCACAATTACGGTCGTTATCTGGAGACATTCCGCAAGCATAGCCTCCTGGACTGAAATGCAACCAGTGACCGGCATGTTCCGAGATTCACGCTTCATCTTACCTATTCAACAACTAACTTATCATGTCCTCTAAATCATTAACTTTTCGGTTAACAATGCTAGCAAA